GGCGAGGATGCCGGCGGTGATGATGAGCGAGACGCCGTTGCCGATGCCGTACTTGTCGATCTGCTCGCCGAGCCACATGAGGAAGATGGTGCCGGCGGTCATGGAGGTGATGGCCATGACCCACCAGAGCGGGTTGTTGGCCCACTCGGGGTAGACGAGGTTGGACCGGGTCAGGAAGCTCATCCAGCCGATGGCCTGGACGACGCAGAGGCCGACGGTGGCGTATCGGGTCCACTCCTGGATCTTCTGGCGACCGGAGGGGCCCTCCTGCTGCAGCTTTTTGAGGGGCTCGTAGGCGGAACCGAGGAGCTGGAAGATGATCGCGGCGCTGATGTAGGGCATGATGCCCAGGCCGAAGATGGTGGATTGCCCGAAGCTGCCGCCGGAGAAGACGGAGACGAACTGCGCGACGCGTCCGAAGGCGCCGCCGGAGTCGGTCTGGGCCTGGAAGAAGTCCTTGAGGAGCTGCTGGTCGACGCCCGGGACGGGGATCCAGAAGCCGATGCGGTAGACGCCGAGCATGGCGACGGTGAAGAGCAGCTTGTTGCGCAGCTCGGGGATCCGGAAGATGTTGATGATCGCCTGGAGCATGGGCCTCGATCCGTTTGGCGTCCGTGCGTCGTATGGGCCGACGCGTTCATCAGGGTGGCGCGATCGCCTTGGTTACTTCTTCTTGCCCTTGGCGCCGCCGCGCTTGAGCTTCTTGCCGAGGTTCTTGGGCGTGCGGTCGTCGGAGTTGCGGTCGACGCCGCGGATGTTGTCGCGACGGGTGCCGGTCTCGTTGACGGATCCGCCGGCGGCGGTGACCTTCTCGCGGACGGAATCGGTGACGCGGGCCGCGGTGATGTTGAGCTTGACCTGGACGCCCTTCTCGGCGTGCTCGCCGAGGGAGCCGAGGATCTTCATCGGGCGCGACATGTCGCGGATGAGCCCGGCGTCGACGAGGGTCTGCTGGTCGACGTCGCCGCCCTTGGCGAACTGCTCGAGGTCGAGGATCGCGCCGAGGTTCACAGTCCAGAACTTCGTGGTGAAGTTGGCGTTGGTGAAGCCGGTCTTCTTGATGCGGCGGAAATACGGCGTCTGGCCGCCCTCGAACTGGATCCGGGCGGAGAAGCCGGAGCGGGAGCGGGCGCCCTTGTGGCCGCGACCGGAGGTCTTGCCGACGCCGGAGCCGCGACCGCGACCGACGCGTTTGCGGGCCTTGTACTTGCCGACCATGGGCGTGATTTCGTGGATCATCATGGCTTATCGATTCCTTCCTCGTTGAGAGGTTCGCCACCCGCCCCGGGTGTCACCTCGCGGTGGATGTTTTTTACGCGTTGTCCTTGTCCTGCTTCTTCTCGCCGTCGGCCTTCTTCTCGCCGCCCTTCTTTTCGGGCTTGGCGGGCTTCTCGGCGGTGGCGGTGGCGGCGCCGTTGTCGGCCTTGGCCTCCTCGGCGGGGGCTTCCTTCTTCGCGCCGGCGGCGGGGGTCATGAAGGCCTGGCCGCGTTCGATCATCTCGTCGACCTCGGTGCGGGCGATCTCGACGCCGCGGACGCGGGAGACGTCCTGCTTGGTGCGGAGGGTCTCGAGGGCGTTGAGCGTGGCCTTGGCGAGGTTCTTCTTGTTGTTGGAACCGTAGCTCTTGGTCATGCAGTCGGTGATGCCGGCGATCTCGAGGACGGCGCGGACGGTGGCGCCGGCGACGACACCGGTACCGGGCGACGCGGGGATGAGCTTGACGACGGAGGCGCTGTAGCGTCCGACGACCTCGTGGGGGATGGTGCCGCCGTGGAGGTTGACGCTGGAGACGGCCTTGCGTCCGTCCTTCTGCGCCTTCTCGATGGCCGGGGGCACCTCGTTGGCCTTGGCGTAGCCGACGCCGACGCGACCTTCGCGGTCGCCGACGACGACGAGCGCGCCGAAGCTGAATCGCCGGCCGCCCTTGACGGTGGCGGCGGAGCGGAAGATGCCGATCGTGTTGCTCTCGAGCTGAGAGCCCTGTTCTACATTCTCAACCATCGTGGTTCCCAATCGTGGATGACCGTTCGGTGTGCAATCGTCTCGTCGTGCTGAGGGTCAGAGCTTGAGCCCGCCCTCGCGGGCGGCTTCGGCGAGGGCCTTGACGCGTCCGTGGTAGCGGAAGCCGCCCCGGTCGAAGACGACCTCGTCGATGTTCTTGGCCTTGGCCTTCTCGGCGATGGCCTTGCCGACGGCGGCGGCGCCGTCGCAGGCCCCGGGCTTGCCGTCGACACCGCCGTCGCGGGTCGAGGCGGAGCAGAGGGTGACGCCGTTGATGTCGTCGATGACCTGCACGTACATGTGCTGGAGCGAACGGTAGACGGCCAGGCGGGGCTTGGTGGGCGTGCCGCTCACTTTGGAGCGGGTGCGGGCGCGCCGACGGGCTCGTCTCAGTGCTTTGGTTCGTTGCTTGTCCATCGTTCGTCTCTCGTGAATCTTGGAATCCGGCGAGCGCCGGCGTGGTGGATCGTGGATCGGTGAGTTACGCGCCGAAGGCCTTGCCCTGCTTGCGGACGACGACCTCGTCGGAGTACTTGATGCCCTTGCCGTTGTAGGGCTCGGGCTTGCGGACGGCTCGGACCTCGGCGGCGAACTGGCCGACGGCCTGCTTGTCCGGGCCCTTGATGGTGATGAGCTGCTTCTCGACGGTGACGTCGACGCCCGCGGGGACCATCTTGGTGATGGTGTTGGCGAAGCCGACTTTGAGGTCGAGCTTGTTGCCGGCGAGCTGGGCGGTGTAGCCGACGCCGACGACCTCGAGCTTCTTCTCGTAGCCCTCGGTGACGCCGACGACCATGTTCTGGATCAGGGCGCGGGTCATGCCCCAGTAGGCGCGGACCTGCTTGTTCGAGACGTCCTTCTCGTCGATGGTGACGGCGACGGCCTTCTCGCCCTCGTCGAACGAGACGTTGACCTCCGGGCGCAGGGCCTGGGTGAGGGACTTGTCGCCCTTGCTGATCGTGATGGTGTCGCCGGAGACGGAGACGTTGACCCCCGAGGGGACGCTCACCGGCAGTTTTCCGAGTCGTGACATGGCTTGGTCCTTGTCGTGCTTTCTCTATCTCGCTCGCGCGACGCGCGGGTGGATCGGTCGGTGTCGGATCAGTAGACGGTGGCCAGGAGCTCGCCGCCGACGCGGTCCTCGCGGCACTTGCGGTCGGACATGACGCCGTGGGACGTCGAGACGATCGAGATGCCCATGCCCTGGAGGGGGCTGGTGATCTCCTCGGCCTTCTTGTAGACGCGGCAGCCCGGCTTGGACTCGCGCTTGATGACGTGGATGATGTCCTCGCCGCGGTCGCCGTACTTGAGCCGGACGCGGATGCGTCCCTGGCGTCCGTCGTCGATGGTGTCGAATCCGTCGATGTAGCCTTCCTCGGTGAGGATCTGCGCGATGCCTCGGCAGACCTTGGAGTTGAGGCACATGACTTCCTTCTTCCGCGCGGAGACTCCGTTGCGGATTCGGGTCAGCATGTCGGCGATCGGGTCGCTCATTGACATAGTTCGGTCCTTGCCTTCTTTCGAGCCGCGGGGATTCAGCGGCGGTGGTTCCTGCTTACCAGCTCGACTTCCGCATGCCGGGCACCTTGCCCTGGAGCGCGAGTTCGCGGAGCACGATGCGGCTCACACGGAACTTGCGGTAGACGCCTCGGGCGCGACCGGTGATCTCGCACCGGCGCACCTTGCGGGTGCTGAACTTGGGCTCTTTTTTGCTCTTCGCGATCTGACACTTGCTCGCCATGTCTTACTTCCCAGCCTTTGCTTCTCGTTTGCGGAACGGCATCCCGAGTGACTCGAGCACCATTTTGCTCTTCGCGGGGTCGGAGTTGGAGAACACCATGTTGATGTGCATGCCGTGGGTGAAGCTCACGCGTCCCATGTCGATCTCGGGGAAGATCGCCTGCTCGGTCACGCCCATGGAGTAGTTGCCGGCCTTGTCGAAGGACTTGTCGGGGAGTCCGCGGAAGTCCTTCATGCGGGGGACGGCGAGGTTGATGAGGCGGTCGAGGAAGAACCACATGCGCTCGCGTCGGAGGGTGACCATCGCGGACGCCTCCATGCCCTCGCGGAGCTTGAAGTTCGCGACCGACTTCTTCGCCTTGATGACGATGGGCTTCTGGCCGCTCACCGCGGTGAGGGTGTCGAGGACCGACTCCTTCACGTTGTTGGGGAGCTTGGCGTTCTCGAGGTGTCGGCCCACGTTGACGTTGAGCACGATCTTCTCGAGGCGCGGCTGCTCCATGGGGTTGGAGAGGCCGAGCTCGGAGGCGAGCTTCTTGCGCACCTCGTCCTCGTACATCGTCTTGAGGCGCGGCGGGCCGGAGGGCTTGCGTGCTTCCTCGGCTGCCGGGTTGTCTTTCTTCTTGTCCTTGGCCATTGGTCTTCTCTCAATGGGAGCCGGTTGGATCGGATCCGATTCGTGTTCCGGCGGTGCTTACTTCTTCTTGGCGGGGCTGATCTGGCCCAGGTCCTTGCCGCCTCGGGAGGCGACGCGGGACTTGGATCCGTCTTTCTTGATCTCGAAACGCACACGCGAGGGTTTGCCGTCGACGACGGGGCTCACGTTGCTCATGTGGAACGAGCGGTCGAGGGTGACGCGCCCGCCCTGGGGGTTGACGCGGGAGGGCTTGAGGTTCTTGGGGTAGCCCTCGATGCCGGCGCCCTTGACGATGACGCGATCGGAGTCGGTGATCACGCGGATGACGGTGCCGGTCTGGCCCTTGTAATCGCCCGCGGTGATGATGACTTCGTCGCCCTTGCGGATGTGCCGTGCCATGACTCAGACCACCTCCGAGGCGAGGGACACGATCTTCATGTAGCCGCGGTCGCGGAGCTCGCGAGCGACGGCGCCGAAGATGCGGGTGCCCTTGGGGTTTCCGTCGTCGTTGATGATGACGATGGCGTTGTTATCGAAACGGACGTACGAGCCGTCGTCGCGGCGCGTGGGGTACGAGGTGCGGACGATGACGCCCTTGACCTTGTCGCCGGACTTGATGTCCGACCCCGGGAGCGCCTTCTTGACGGAACAGACGACGCGGTCGCCGACGCCGGCGGTGCGGCGAGTCTGGCGTCCGCGGGCGGTGGAGCCGCCCAGCACGCGGATGACGTAGGCGACCTTGGCGCCGGAGTTGTCCGCGACTTCGCATCTTGATTCTTGCTGAAGCATCTCGAATGCTCTTTCTCAAAGCCCGCGGGGATCGCGGGCGACACACGTTGAATCGATCACTCGCTCGGCGACGCTTCGACGACGCGGAGCAGACGCCAGGTCTTGGTCTTGGAGTAGGGCCGGCAGGGGGCGACCTCGACTTTGTCGCCCATCTTGGAGGCGTTGTCCTCGTCGTGGACGTGGAGGACGGTCCGCTTGCGGAGGTACTTGCCGTACTTGGGGTGCTTGGCGAGGTAGCTCACGACGACCTTCCGGGTCTTGTCGGACTTGTCGGACTCGACGACGCCGATCGTGGCGCCCTTGACTTTTTCGCTTGCGGTCGCGCTCATGCGTTGGCTTTCTGCTCGTTGAGCTGGCGGGCCCGGCGCTCGGTCTTGAGTCGGGCGATGTCCTTGCGGACCTTGCCGAATTGGCTGGGGTCCTCGATCTTCTCCGTCACGGTCTGGGTGCGGAGGTCGTAGAGACGGCGCTGGAGTCGGTCGATCTCGACCTCGATCTCCTCGCCGGTCAGCTTGTGCACTTCGTCAGCTTTCATCTCGTGCTCCGTCCTTACACCGACAACCGTCGACCCACGAACCGGCAACGCACCGGCATCTTCATCGCGATGCGGACCATGGTCTGCTTGGCGATGTCCTCGGTCACACCCGCGATCTCGAAGAGCATCGTCCCGGGGCGCACGCGGGCGGCCCAGTAGTCGACGTCCGCCTTGCCCTTGCCCATTCGGGTCTCGAGGGGCTTCTTGGAGACCGGTTTGTCCGGGAAGACCCGGATATAGATCTTGCCCTGACGCTTCAGGAAGTGCTGGGCGGCGATACGGCCGGCCTCGATCTGGCGCGCGGTGAGCCAGCAGCCCTCGAGGGACTGGAGGCCGTAGTCGCCGAACGCGACGTAGTTGCCCTTCGTCGCCTTGCGGTCCCGGACGCGCCGGAACTCCTTCCTGAATTTCACTCTCTTGGGCATGCGGGGCATGTCGATGTCCCTTTATCTCTGCTGGCCGCTCGCGGCCAAAGTGTCTCGTTCGTCGAATCGATCGTTGCTCAGTGGCGCCCTCGGGCACGCGGGCGGGCACCGGCGGCCTTGGAGGTGTCCTCGGACTCTTCTTCCATGGCGTCGTAGTCGCCCTTGTAGATCCAGACCTTGACGCCCATGGCACCGTAGCTCGCGACGCAGCGGGCGAAGCCGTAGTCGATGTTCGCCTGGAGCGAGGAGAGCGGCATGGAGCCGAGGCGGGTGTCGAGGCGGCGGCTCATCTCGGCGCCGCCCAGGCGGCCGGCGAGGAGGATGCGGACGCCCTTGGCACCGGCCTGCATGGCGGCCTCGGCGCGCATCTTGACGAGGCGGCGGTAGCTGGCGCGCTTGCGGAGCTGCTCGGCGATGCCCTCGGCGATGAGCGCGGCGTTCATGTCCGGGTTCTTGATCTCGATGATGCTGATCGAGACCTTGCGGCCGGTCATGTACTGGAGCTCTTCGGTGAGGCGGTCGACCTCGGCGCCCTTGGGGCCGATGACCAGGCCCGGGCGGGCGGTCTTGACGATGACCTTGAGCTCCTCGCGGGTGCGCTCGATGTGGATGTCCGAGACGGCCGCGAAGGGCGGGGTCCGGTTCAGGCGCTTGTCGACGAACTCGCGGATCTTGAAGTCCTCGACGAGGAGCTCGCCGTACAGCGCCTTGGGCGCGTACCAGCGGCTCTTGTGGGGCTCGGTGATCCCGACTCGGTAGCCATAGGGGTGTGTCTTCTGACCCATTAAGCACGCTCCTCGACGGCGATGATGATGTGGCTTGTCTTCTTCTGGATGGGGTGGGCGCGGCCGCGGTCCTTGGGCTGGAATCGCTTGATGATCACGCCCTCGTCGACGCGCGACTCGGAGATGTAGAGGCGGTCGATGCGGGCGTCGGCGGCTTCCGCGTCCGCGACGGCGGCGCTGAGGGCCTTGCGGACGAAGACGCTGGCTCGCTTGGGGGAGAACTCGAGGAGGCTGTAGGCCTCGTCGACGCTCTTGCCCCGGACCAGGTCGGCGATGAGCCGGGCCTTGCGGGGGCTCGAGCGGACCCAGCGGGCCTTGCAGGGGAAGTCGGCGATGCGCGTGAGCGGGACGCCCAGGGTGTCGGCGATCGCGGCGATCTCGTCGGCGGTGGCGCCCGGCTTGTTCCGGCCCTCGAGCCAGTTCCTGACCTTGGCCTGCGCGCGGTCGTCTTCCTTGCGGCGATCGGTCGCCTTGGGGAGGGCGGCGGCGAGGTCGTCGACGCTCTTGCCGGCGTCCGTCGCGAGCTGCTTGAATGTCTTGTGGTTGAGTCTCACGGGAGAACCCTCATCTGGCTCAAGTGGTGATCGCGGCGGGCCGCGTTACTTGTTCTTGATGCCTTCCTTCTTGTTGGTGTGACCTCGGAAGACGCGGGTCGGGCTGAACTCGCCCAGCTTGTGGCCGACCATGTCCTCGGTGACGAAGACGTCGTTGAAGATGCGGCCGTTGTAGACCTGGAAGGTGTGGCCGACGAACTCGGGGACGATGGTGCAGGCGCGGGCCCAGGTCTTGATGGGCTTCTTGCCGCCGGACTCGTTGAGCGACTCGACCTTGCGGTAGAGCTTCTCGTCCACGAACGGGCCTTTTTTCAGTGAGCGGGACATCTATCGTTCCTTCCTTATCGCAGCTGGCCGTAACGCTTGGACTTGCGACGACGGATGATCAGGTCTTCGGAATGCTGCTTGCGGTTGCGGGTCGAGCCGCCCTTGGACGGGGTGCCGGACTTGCTGACCGGGGCGCGGTTGCCCTTGGAGCGGCCTTCGCCGCCGCCGAGGGGGTGGGCGTTGTGCGACATCGCGACGCCGCGGGTCTTGGGGCGGCGGCCGAGGTGACGGGACTTGCCGGCCTTGCCCAGGCGGCGCTGGGAGTGGTCGGAGTTGCCGACGACGCCGATGGTCGCGCGGCACTCGATGAGCACGCGGCGGATCTCACCGGAGGGGAGCACGAGGGTGGCGAACTTCTCTTCCTTGTTGGAGAGACGCGCCGAGGAGCCCGCGGAGCGACAGATCTGGCCGCCCTTGCCCGGCTTGAGCTCGATGTTGTGGATATCGAGGCCGGTGGGGATGTGCTTGATCTTGAGGCAATTGCCGACCTTGGGCTCGATGAACTCGTCGCTGGCGAGGATCTCGTCGCCCTGCTTGAGCTTCTTGGGGGCGATGATGTAGCGCATCACGCCGTCGGCGTACTTGATGAGCGCGATGTTGGACGAGCGGTTGGGGTCGTACTCGATCGCCTCGACGACGCCGACGATGCCGTTGCGGTCGTTGCGGCGGAAGTCGATCTTGCGGTAGAGGCGCTTGTGACCGCCGCCGCGTCCGCGGACGGTGATCTTGCCCTGGTTGTTGCGTCCGCCCTTCTTGTTGATGGTGGACGTGAGGGCCTTCACGGGCCGGCGCTTGCCGGGCGTGAGCTCCTCGTACGTGTTCACCGAGGCGTTTCGTCGCCCGGCGCTGGTCGGTCTGTAGATGCGGATCGCCATCGTGCTCAGCCTTCCGTTAGAACAGCTCGATCGTGTCGGCCTCGTGGACCCGGACGATCGCCTTCTTGGTTGTTTTGCCTTTGACCATGCCGTAGCGCATCCGTCGGTTGCGCCCGTGCTGGGTCACCGTCGAGACGCCGACCACGCGGACGCGGTAGAGGTCCTCGATCGCGTTCTTGATCTGCGTCTTGCTCGCCGTGGGGTCCACCTCGAAGGCGTAGCGGTTGTGCTCGTTCGACTGGTAGGTCGACTTCTCGGTGATGAGCGGCTTGCGGATGACGTGGATGCTTTCCATCACGCGGCCTCCTTCGCGGCGTCGGCCTTGGCGCCCTTGCCGGTCTTGGCGCTGGGGCCGTCGATCCAGGCCTGGAGATCGGCCTTGGAGATGACCATGTAGCGGCAGTTGAGCATCTCGAAACAGGTGAGCTGGCTGGCGTCGCAGACGGTGACGTTGTCGATGTTGCGAGCCGCGAGCCCGGCGTTCTTGTTCTCGGCCGAGACGGCGACGAGGCAGGTGCGGTCGACGCCGAGGGCCTTGAGCAGGTCGCTCATGACCTTGGTCTTGGGGGCGTCGAGCTTGATGTCGTCGAGGACGAAGACCTCGTTGTCCATGAGCTTGGAGAGCAGGGCGTTGCGGTTGGCCTTGCGCCGCATCTTGACGGGCATGTCCTTGCGGAATTCCTCGCGCTGCTTCGTCTTGGCGAAGGCGACGCCGCCGCCTCGACGGATCGCGGTGCGGACCGTGCCCATGCGGGCGCGACCGGTGCCCTTCTGCTTGAAGAGTTTGCGGGTGGAACCGGCGACCTGGCCGCGACCCTTGGTCCGGGCGCTGCCCTGGCGCGTGTTCGCGTGGTAGCGGACGTACGCCTGCTTGATGAGGGAAGGGTTGAGCTCGCCTCCGAGGACGGCTTCGTCGATGGTGAGGGTGCTCACCTGATCGCCCTTCATGTTTCGGACGGGGACTTCCATCGGTGGAATCTCCAGCGTCTGTCGCCTGTGCTCGGCGGGGCTCCGTTGCCCTCGCTTCGCGTCGCCTGACCCGGGTGCCGCCCCATTTTCAATCGTCGGGAACGGGCCGGGATCAACTCGGCGGGTGCCTCTGCTTGTGGTTGCCCGTCGGTTTCCGCGTCGCGGACCTCTCGGGCGGACGAGTCGCCAACGCGGCGCTCGCCCTGATTCATTCAGTCTTCACTCAGGCCTTGAGGGCCTCTTCCTGCCGCGTCCGCTTGGACTTGAACAGGCGGGTGGGTGTGCGGATCTCGAGAACGCCCCTCGCGGCGCCGGGGACCGGGCCCTTGACGAGGAGCAGGTTGTTGTCGGTGTCGACCTTGACGACCTCGAGGGAGCGAACGGTGCAGCGGACGTTGCCCATCTGCCCGGCCATCTTCTTGCCCTTTTTGATCTTGGGACCGGTGCCGAGGTTGGTGGCGTGGCCGCCGATCGAGCCCGGGGAGCGGTGCTTGCGCTCGACGCCGTGGCTGGCTTCCTGGCCACGGAAGTTGTGGCGCTTCATGCCGCCCTGGAAGCCCTTGCCCTTCGAGGTGCCGGTGATATCGATGAAGGCGTGGTTGGCAAAGAGTTCGACGGTCAGCTCCTGGCCGAGCTCGAAGTCTTCGCCCTCGGCCTGGAACTCGCGGTGGTGACGCTTCGGGCCGGTGCCGGCCTTGCCGTCGTGGGCGATGATGGGCATGGTCGAACGGCGCGGCTTGACGTCGTCGTACCCGATCTGGACGGCGTCGTAGCCGTCGACCTCTTCGGTCTTGACCTGGGTGACGACGCACGGACCGACCTCGATCACCGTGACGGGGATGTTCTTCCCGTCTTCGGTGAACCAGCGGGTCATTCCGATTTTGGTGCCGAGCAGCGTGAGCGGCATGTCGTTCGTCCTTTCGTCTCGCCCGCGAACATCGCGGTCGGTTGGGTTCGGCTTTCGCCCCGGCTCGTGCACTCGGCAGAGGAACCGTGTTGTGCTGTCATGAAAAAACCGAGCCCCGGTGATGGGACTCGGTTCGTGGATTACGCCTTGATCTTGATGAAGACGCCCGCGGGGACAACGAGGCGGTTGAGGGCCTCGACGGTGCGCGCGTTGGGCTCGGTGATATCGATGATCCGCTTGTGGGTGCGGATCTCGAACTGCTCGCGCGACTTCTTGTCCTTGAACGGACCGCGGAGCACGGTGTAGCGCTCGATGCGCGTGGGCAGCGGGACCGGACCCGCGACGCGGGCGCTGGTGCGCTTGGCGTGATCGACGATCTCTTTCGCCGAGGCGTCGAGCGCCTGGTGATCGTACGCTTCCATCCGGATTCTGATTCGTCCGCCGCTCATGCGTATCGTTTGCCTTTCACACCCGGCACGAAGTCGCCCGAGTACCTCTGAGTCACGTCCTGAGAGCCGGCCGCATGGCACCGTCCGAGGCGGGGTTGCTCGGTCATTGGGCGACCGTCCCGACTCGGTATGCCTGATTCCGCGGAATCCAGCTCACGAGAACACCACCACACTGCCGACGAAAAATCAGCAGCGAGCCGCGAAGAATAACCATTCTCGCGCGTGTGTCAACTCGACCCCCTCCCCCGCTTCACGATTTCCACAAGATTCCCGAAACCCCCACGGGCCCGTCTCGTCCCACCGCTCTAGCATCACGCGACGGAGACTCACCACATGCCGAACATCACCCGATCGCTCTCGTCCATTTTCGCCGGCCTCGCGCTGCTCGCTCCCCCGCTGCTGCCCGCCCCCGACGCCTCGGCGCAGGACGCGGGCCCGCTGATCCCGCTCGCGGCGCAGCCGTTCGAGATCCCGAGTCTCGGGATCGCGATCACGCTGCCGGAGCGGGCGTACACGAGCGTTCAGACGATCGCGGGCGGCCAGGCGACGGCGCTGGTGTACCCCGGCGAGGCGAACCAGAAATGGCAGATGGCGATCAAGTCCCACCGCAGCTCCAACACGGAGCTGACGAACACCGAGGCGCTCGACGAGATCGTCCGGCAGATCAAGCTCACCAAGCCGGTCACGGATGCCCGGAAGGGCGGCGTGGACCCCAACGACCTGCTCAACCGCAACTTCGAGTACTCCCGGATCCAGGTCACCTCGCGGACGCCGGGCCTGGACATCGGGGGCGTGCCGGCGGAGCGGGTCTACCTGAGCGCCCCCCAGCTGCCGGACTACCCGGATTCCGGCATCACGATCTTCAACCCGGAGCCGGGCGTGTTCATGCTCGTGCACCTCGAGACGCCGCACGGCACGATGGATTCGCTCAAGCCGCTCTACGAGACGGTGTGCGCGTCGGTGGCGTTCAAGGACGCTTCGGAATTGACGGCTCGACGCGCGGCGGCGGTGCTCGCGACGCACGAGCTCTTCGGGGACGTGAACGCTTCGGATCTGGAGTCGCTGCTGGACAAGTCTCCTCGCTTCTACCGCCTGTACCGGCCGTCGGAGTCGGGTCGCCCGCTGGACGACACCGACGTCGCGTGGCAGCGGATCTCGATCCGGACCGGCCAGGCCGGGGAGATCAATCCGGGCAAGGCGCGGACGAATTGGGGCGCGGAGGACCGGGAGTACGGGTTCATCATGCAGATCGAGGCGCGGGCGCTGTGGCTCAACTTCGTCGTCGACTCGCAGGGGATCTTCTTCCTCTCCCGGGACCGCGAGCACGAGCGGTGGTCGCTCAAGAACACGGTCCGGAAGGGCGGCACGACGGACACCACGACGCAGACGCTCATCCGCAAGGGCAAGGACCTCAGCTACGTGGTCGAGCGGCCCGGAGACCCGCGGTTCACCGGCGAGTTCGTGATCCCCGAACGCGGCTACCTCTCGAAGATCGAGGCGACGCTGCTGCCCAGGATCGTCGCCTCTCGGGACATCCCCGGCGAGTTCGCGTACTACGCGTTCGACCCGGGCCTCGACACGATCGCGCTGAAATACGAGACGTTCGACCGCGACGGGACGGGCCGCTGGGAGAGCGCCTTCAAGCACGTCGAGAACGCGCTGCCGCAGGTTTCGGTATACGACGAGGCGGGGCTGATCGTGCGTCGGACGACGCCGGACGGGCAGCGGATGGAGCCGATCGACCCGGAGCGGCTCCGCACCATCTGGCGGAACAAGGACCTGCCGATCGACTGAGGCTCAGAGGCCCTCGTCGCTCGCGTCCTCGATACCGAACTCGGTCTTGAGCTCTTCGAGCCGCTCGGCCAGGCGGTTGAGGCCTTCGCCCGACGCGTCCCGGACGCCCGAGCCGCCGAGCCCGCTCTGCGCGCGGTCGAGGAGGTCGGCGCCGCGCTGGGTGGCGGCGTCGATCATCTCCCGCACTCGGGCGAGCGCGTCCGTCGAGACGCCGGCGTCGGCGGCGGTCTCGAGGGTCTGCGCCGCGGCGCGGAGGGCGCCGAGGGCGTCGCGCTCGACGACGAGGGCCGCGTGGGCGATGACGCCGGTGGAGGCGCGTGATTCGTCGCGCGAGCCGCCGCTGCCGGCGCGGGAGAGAGCGCCGAGGGCCGCGTCGTAGGACGTGGCGGCGTTCTGGTAGCTCTCGGCGAAGGGCCCTTCGAGCGTGGCCACCATGGAATCGATGCGTTCGTTGATCGATTCACGCTCCGCGTCGGCGCGGGCGCGAGCGGTGCGCGCGTCCTCGCGGCGCTGCTGGGCGATCTCGTCGATGCGCGAGAGCGTGGTGCTGGCGGAATCGAGCTGGGTCTGGACGCGCTGCTGCTGGCGGTCGAGCACGCCGAGCATCGGGGATTTGTTGCCCGCTTCGGCGCGGAGCCCGTCGGCTTCGCGCTCGAGGATGTCGGCCTCGCGCGAGGTCTCGACGGCGCGGGTGATGAGGTCGAGGCGGTCGTCGCCGGCGAGGCGCTCGGCCTGATTGCGCAGCTCGGCGGCGCGGTTGCGGGTCTCGCGGGCTTCGCCGGCGAGCGAATCGGCCTCGCTGTTGAGCCGGCTGAGCTCCTCGTTGAGCGCCCGGCGGTCCGCGCTGATCTGGGCGAGCTCGGCTTCGAGGGACTGGATCTTCGCCCGCACGGCGGCGCGGTCGTCGCTGGCGTCGTAGGACTCCGCGCCGTCGACCTGCGCCTGATACTTGAGCAGGGCGCCGAGCTTGCTCTGGATCTCCACGGCGGTGGCGGTGATCTCGCCCGCGGCGTGGCGCATGTCGTGGTGCGAGATCTGGGCTTCGCCGGCGCGGGCCTGGGCGGCGAGGACGAGCGCGGGCCCGCCGGTGCTCGACGCGTCGCGTGCCGCGGCCTCGAGGTCGCGGGCGACCTCGCCGTAGACGCGGGTGCGGACCTGGCTGGGCGCGGCGGTGGCGCCGCTCGGGCTGAGCGTCGAGAGATCGCTGCGCGCTTCGCTGACGGCGACGGAGAGATCGTCGGACTCGCCGCATCCGGCGACGGTCGCGAGCGCGAGGGCGAGCGAGGTGATGGCTACGTTACGTCCGCGGTGCGTCATGTGGTCCTTTCCCGGTCTCGGATCGAGGGCCGCCAGACTACCAATATGTCCGGCCCGGTGCCCCCCGCGCGGCCCCGCGCCCGCCCGCGATCGGCTCACCGCTCGACGGGTTCGAAGGTCTGCTCCGGCGTCTCGGGGCTGACGATCCGTCGCAGCGCCGGCGGGATGTAGTCGATGGAGTAATCCGGCCGGGGCTTGTACATCGAGTTGATCCAGGTGATGGCGTAGCTGTAAGCGCGGGCGTCGCGGTTCCGGAAGGCGGGGCGCCAGCCGATGACCTCGGGGTGCGGGATCGCCGAGTCGTCCTGCGGCAGCCCGAGCTGGAGCAGCGCCGAATTGGCGGGGCGCTCGTAGTCGATCAAGGGTGTGCCGTCGGGGAGGGTGGTGCGCTCGAGGATGAGGAGGTTGGTGTAGGTCGCGGCGTCGGAACGCGGGCGGGTGTTGACGAGCCAGAGGTCGCCGACGTCCGGGCCGCCGTGGCAGCGCGAGGTGGCGCAGTTGTTCACGAGCCAGCCGGCCTGGACGCGGTCGCGGAAGATGCGGATGGACTGCGGGTCGCCGATGATCTCGACCTCGGGGTAGAACTCGCGCGCCCGGGCGCGGAACATGATGTCGAGGATCTCCTCGGGCGACTTGCGGTGGAAGGCCTCGCGACCCGCTCGCGTGTCCGGGACGAGCGGGTGCTCGACGTACGACATCATGAATCGCTTCACGGTGTCGTGGGGGATGCGGATGGTCGGCGGGTCGTTGAGGTTGATCTCGTAGACCTTCATCAGGCCGATCTGGGCCTCGTTGAGGGTGTCGAACTGCGAAGCGGCCTTGATCTTTTCGCGGAGCTCGTCGTGGTTGCGGCCGGCTTCGCGCCGGCGCTCGCGCTCGAGCGAATCGTCCGGGCGGGCCTCGCCCTCGTTCTCGAGGATCTGGACCTGGCTCTCCAGCTCGCGCTTGAGCCGCCAGGCCTCGGAGTTCGTCGGGTCGGCCCGGATCGCCAGCTCGATCTCGGCGAGCCCCTCGCGGTAGAGCTTGTTCGACTGCAGCCACTTCACCAGCGTGATGATGCGGATGGGGTCGTTGTCCGGGATGGCGGGGCGCATCTGGTGGTATCGCTCCAGCGGGGTGCCGAGCCGGATGACGAGGTCGATGTCCGGCTGGGGGATGTCGACCTCGATGCCCGAGATGCGGATGGTGACGACGTGCTCGTCATTCGCCACGAGGACGCCGGTGAGGCGGCGGCCGTCTTTGTATTCGATGGTGACTTCGTCGCCCGGCTCGGCCGGCTTCGGCTCGTCGACGGCGGGCGCGGGCGGGTCGGCCGGGGTGGCTTCCGGCTCGGCGGGCGCCGGCGTCTCTTCGGGCTGTTCTGCCTCCGGCGCGGGGTCCTGCGCGGACGCGAGCGTCACCAGGAGCGCGCCCGCGATCGTCGCGAGGAGAAGGCGGAGTGTGTGCACGGGTGTCGTCATGGGTCTACTGAGGGTGTTGGATGGGCAGAAAAAGACGGGGTTCCCAAAGAAAGCGCCGTACCATCTATAAGCCAAGAATCGAGCCTGTGAAGGCTTTTCCGGGCGATTCGGGACGTTTCGGAGGTCCGAAAATCCGCTTTTTTTCCCCACATTTCCTTCAAATCGTTTGGACCGCCCCCGCTTGTGTTTCGTATATTGCCAGTGACGTGTTTCTTCCCTCCTGCCCACCGAGCTTCCCCCGGTTCGGTGGGTCTTTTTCTGCGCTGACCGCGTGGGGCGTGTTCCCGGCGGTCACTCGCCCGCGTTCTCCACGACGATGAGGCCGTCGATGCGGCCCGCGTGCTCGATCTGAACGAGCACGACGTCGTCGGGGCGGACGGTCGCGAAGAACCCGCCCGCGCGGAACCGCTCGCCGAACTCGTTGACGAA